TATGGACCGAAATGCCTGAAAAACGAGGAATTTCACGATTTGAACGAAAATCAGCGGAAACTGGTCATCTCGCGCAAAGTCGCACACAGAACCGGGAAAACCATGAATCGCGACAATCGGCTGAGAATGGCTCCTTCCGCGACAGCCCTAGTTCATAAATGGGTCATGTAACCAGTCCGGTCGGCGAATAACCACGGCATTTCACGCAAGTATCCAGCATTCAAATGGTGCTCTACAATACCGTTGGGAAGGTTCTTGTTTGCTCTAAATGCCTGGAAAGAAGCGGAAAGTTGAAACAACTCTCTGTACAACGTACAAATGTACGTGTAAAGCAATCTCCGTCGCCACGCACTTACTGTAATATTGCAGAGATTCTCCATTGAATCCGATAGCGATTGAGTCAATATTGTCAAGGGCATAAGGAAATGGCAGCACCCACCAACCAAAATTTATTATAAGTCGCGCCTATGTATATCATCATAAATAACGAAGTTAAGCAGTGAAAATAACATTTCCGCGAAATAACATAACAGGAATTTCCCGAGTTGAACGAAAATCAGCGAAAACTGCATCATCTCACGCAATGTCGCATACGGAAACGTGAAAACGAAGAATCGCGACAATCGGTTGAGACTGGCTTATTCCGAGTCAAAGTCGGATTTAGACGGAAATGCCTAAAAATCCAAAAAATTCTCGATTTAAACGAAATCAGTCAGTTCACGCAATACCGCACATAGAACCGGGAACACCATGAATCGCAACAATCGGTTGCGACTGGCTAATTCCGCAACACAGTCGGATATGGACGGAAATGCCAGAAAAACAAGAAATTTCCGAATTTCAAGGAAAATGAGCAGAAACTGCATCATCTCATGCAATGTCGAGCATGGAAACGAGAAAACCATGAATCGCGACTATGTGCTGCGAGTGCCACGTTCCGCGACAAAGCGGGACATAGACCGAAATGCGTGAAAACCGCGGAATTTCCAGATATCAACGAAGACGGCGTTATCTCCCGCAATGTGGCACATAGAACCGGGAAAACCATGAATCGCGACAATCGCCTGAGACTGGCTTATTCCGCGAAAACATGGGATTTGTCCAGAAACGCCAAAAAAACCAGGAATTTCCCGATTTGAAAGAAAATTACCGAAAACTGCATCATCTCACACAATGTCGCACATAGAACCAGGAAAACCATGAAGCGCGACTATGTGCTGGGAGTACCACGTTCCGCGACAAAGTGGGATATGGACCGAAATACCTACGTTACCGAAATACGTAGAACCGGGAACACCATGAATCGCGAAAATCGGCTGAGACTGGCATCTTCCGCTACATAGTGGGATGTGGACCGAAATGCCTGAAAACCGAGGAATTTCCAAATTTCAACGAAAACTGCGACATTTCACGCAATGGCGCACATGGAATCGGGAAAACCATGAACCGCCAGAATCGGCTGAGAATGGCTCATTCCGCGACAAAGTGGGATATGGATCGAAATGCCTGAAAACCGAGCAATTTCACGATTCCCAACGAAATCATGGTCCTCTCACGCAATTGAACCGGGAAAACCATGAAGCGCGACAATCGGTTGAGAGTGGCACATTTCGCGACAAATTCGGATATGGACCGAAATGCCTGAAAACCGAGGAATTTCCCGATTTCAACGAAAATCAGCGGAAACTGCGTCATCTCACGCAATGCCGCACGTGGGAACGAGGAAACCATGAATCGAGACGATCGGCTGAGAATGGTTCATAACGCGACAAAGTGGGATATGGACCGAAATGCCTGAAAACCGAGGAATTTCCCGAATTCAACGTAAACTGCGTCATTTCAGGCAATGTCGCACATAGAACCGGGATCTCCATGAATCGCGACAATCCGCTGAGAATGGCTCATTCCGCGACAAAGTGGGATATGGATCGAAATGCCTGAAAACCGAGCAATTTCACGATTCAGAACGAAATCATGGTCCTCTCACGAAATTGAACCGGGAAAACCATGAATCGCGACGATCGGCTGAGAATGGCTCATTCCGCGACAAAGTGGGATATGGATCGAAATGCCTGAAAACCGAGGAATTTCACGATTTGAACGAAAATCAGCGGAAACTGCGTCATCTCGCGCATTGTCGTATGTGGAAAGGAGAAAACCATGAACCGCCAAAATCGGATGAGAATGGCTCATTCCACCACAAAGTGGGATATGGACCGAAATGCCTGAAAACCAAGGAATTTCCTAATTTTAACGAAGACTGCGTTATCTCCCGGAATGTGGCACGTAGAACCGGGAACTCCATGAATCGCGACAATCGGCTGAGAATGGCTCATTCCGCGACAAAGTGGGATATGGACCGAAATGCCTGAAAACCGAGGAATTTCACGATTTGAACGAAAATCAGCGGAAACTGCGTCATCTCACGCAATGCGGCACGTGGAAACGAGGAAACCATGAATCGCGACAATCGGCTGAGACTGGCTCCTTCCGCGACAAAGTGGGATATGGACCGAAATGCCTGAAAACCGAGGAATTTCCAGATTTCAACAAAGACTGCGTTATCTCCCGGAATGTGGCACGTAGAACCGGGAAAACCATGAATCGCGACAATCGGCTGAGAATGGCTCCTTCCGCGACAAAGTGGGATATGGACCGAAATGCCTGAAAACCGAGGAATTTCCCGAATTCAACGAAAACTGCATCATCTCACACAATGCCGCACGTGGAATCGGGAAAACCATGAAGCGCGACAATCGGTTGAGAGTGGCACATTTCGCTACGAAGTAG